CAACAGGTGCTCAAAGCGCAGCTCCTCCTAAACAAACGGAGAGACGGTCCGTGCTGATGGCCAGGGACCCTCAATGTTATTAAGATGGCGGTTCTCCCTAGGGTGATCCACAGGTGCAACCCAATCCCATCAGGTTTATTTCATTTTTCCAGGGATTCGTTTTCAGTGCTTCACACCCTGTTGCACATTGCAATCACTTGTGGGGAACACTGATCCCAGCCACAGGGGCTCTGGGTCAAACCGGGGGTTGACACCGTCTAACGCAGGGGGGAGTTCTGAGTTCGGATGGAGCCGTGGATGTGGGAGCTCCCAGCTGGGGGCCCCGCATGCTCACGGCTGAGGTTGCCTTCCTTCTGAAATCCACATGCTCTTTGATGACCAGGAACTCCCATATGGGTAAGGATGGAGATGGAGCCTGTCACTTGCGTATTAGTGAACACATCACGTGTGCACTGGTGTCTGAGGGCGGCTGTAACAAAGTACCACAGACAGAGGGGTATATAAAAGAGAAACATCTAGTCTCACAGCTCTGGAGGCAGAAGTCCAAGTTCAAGGTGTCCGCAGGGTTGGCGCCTTCTGAGGCAGACTGTTCCTGGCTTTTGGTCCTGGAAGAAATGAATACACTTGGGTGGACACAGAAGCCCCCTTCTGAGGAGCGAGACAAGGATGCCCGTTCTCACCCCTCTTACTCAGTGTGGTATTGGAAGTCCTAGCTAAAGTAAGCAGGCAAGAGAAAGAAATAAAAAGCATCCAAAATGGGAACGAAGAAGTCACATTGTCACGTGTTGCAGATGACACGATTTTTTATATAGAAAACCCTAAGGACTCCACCAAAAAAACTATTATTAGAAACAACAAACAAATACGGTGAGGCTACAAGTTACAACATCAAGGTAGAAAAGTAAATCGTGTTCCTATATACTAACAACGACATTTCGGAAAAAGAAATTTTAAAAAACTCCTTTTATAGTTGCGACCAAAAGAATAAAATACCTAGAGATAAACTTCACAAAGAATGTGATGGACCTATACACCGAAAGCCACAAGATATTATTAAAATAAATTGAAAAAGACACAGAGAAATGCAAAGATATTCTGTGCTCATGGATTGGAAGAATCGACATTGTTAAAATGGCCATGGTAGCCAAAGCAATATACAGACTTAATGTAATACTCATCAAAATCCCAATGGCATTTTTTTTTTTAAAGAAATAGAACAAAAAAAGCATCCGATTTGTATGGAATCACAGATAGCCAAAGCAATCCCAAGGAAAAAGAACAAGACCAGAGGTATCACTCTGCTTGACTTCGAATTATACTACAAAGTGACAATCAAAACAGTGTGGTGTTGGCAGAAGTATAGACACACAGACCAATGGAACAGAAATGAGAGCCCAGAAATAAACCCATATATACGGCTGAGTAATTTTCAACAAAGGAGCCCACAACATACAACGCGGAAAAGAAAGCCTCTTCAATAAATGGTTCTGAGAAAATGGGAAAGCCACATGCAAAAGAGTGAAACTAGACTGCTATCTGTCACCACGCACAAAAAGTCGAATGGATACTCAAGGATCAGAGACCTAAATGTAAGACCTGAAACGATAAATTATGTAGAAGAAAACACAAGTACTAAACTTATGGACCTTGGATTTAGAGAGGATTTTATGAATTTGACCTCAAAGGCAAGGGAAATAGAAGCAAAAATAAATGAATGGGACCACATCAAACTAAAAAGCTTCTGCACAGGAAGGAAACCATCAACATGGCGAAGAGGCAACCAACTGAACGGAGAAGGTATTTATAAACAACGCCTTCGATAAGGGGCTAACGTGCAAAATACATAAAGGACTCATACAACTCAACAACAAAAAAACCAAACAGTCCCCCTCATCAAAAAAAAAAAAATTGGCAGAGGACCTGAACAGACACTTCTCCCAAGAAGACATGCAAATGGCCAGCAAATATACGAAAAGATGCTCACCTTCACTAGCTGTTATGGCGCGAACGATTCTGAGACCCACGGAGCCAATTGAGATTAATTATTTTATGAATTTGACCTCAAGGGCAAGGGAAGTCAAAACAAAAATAAGTGAATGGGACTACGTAAAACTAAAAAGCTTCCGCACAGCAAAAGAAACCATCAACAAAACAAACAGATAACCACCTAAATGGGAGAAGACATTTCCAAACAATATCTCCAATAAGGGGCTAATATCCAAAGTATATAAAGAACTCATATAACTCAACAACAACAAAAAACAAACAATCAAAAAGTAGGCAGAGGACCTAAACAAACACTTCTCCCAAGAGGACATACAAAAGGCCAATAGGCATACAAGAAGATACTCAACTTCACATAGCTATTAGGGAGATGCAAATAAAACCATAATGAGATACCATCTTCACACCTCTGAGAATAGCTACCATCAACAGGACAAGTAATAATAAGTGTTGGAGAGGTAACCCTCGTATGCTGTTGGGGGGGCGGATATAAACTGGTATAGCCACTATTGAAAACAGTATGGAGGTTCCTCAAAAAAATAAAAATAGAATTACCATATGACCCAGCAATTCTTCTTCTGGGTGTCTACCCCCAAAATTTGAAAACATTTATCTGTGAAGACGTATACGCCCTGATGTTCATTGCAGTATTGTGCCAGGTGGACAAGACACGGGAACGACCGACGTGTCCTGTGATGGATGATTGGATAAAGAAGCTGTGGTACATACATACAATGGCATATTCCTCAGCCATAAGCAAAGATGAAATACTGCCTTTCGCAAGAACATGGATGCATCTTGAGATTATCTTGCTAAGTGAAATAGACCAGACAGAAAAAGCTGAGAACCATGTGATTTCACTCACATGTGGGATATAAAACTGAAAGGAACAAACAAACAAGACAAACAAAAACTCAGACATAGACGACAG